GTTTTGTAACAGAGGGAATGTTCTGGAAAAGGGTAAAATGTTTATGAGTTTTCTCATTACCCCCCCCAAAACCCCCCCCCCCCCAGTTTTTGGGAATTAAAACCTGTATCTCTGCCAGAGGCCAGTAATCAGAGGGGTAGGGGAGTGTCCTTTTTTCTTTGTATTAAAAGAGATGGCCCAATGGAATTGTCTGGGCAAAGGTCATAAGATTGTATTCAGCGGAGATGGGGTTGATCAGGACCATCAACTATTGTTAAACAGCACTAACCCCAAGCTAAAAACTCCTTTTAAAAGTTCTGTATTTCTGCTTATAGGGACAACTGTGGTACTTTAAGATGTGAGTCTGCCATACTCCTCATTTGTCAGGAAATTAATAAACTCCCCTTTCCTTCACCTCAAGCCACTTGTCCTCATTCTTCTGATGTGGCCTTGCGGATGAGTGCTGAACTTTCAATAATAGTATTTGGCATCCCTGGTGGGCCCATCCGTATCCCAGTGGAACAGCACCCCACAACTGTTGGAAGGGGTAGAGAGCATCCCCCAGTCAAGCCATGGGTAAGAGCATTGCCTTCTTGGATAAGAGAGGTAGGCAGCATCCCAGCAGCTGCTGGAGCTTCATTAGCTCTGAGGAACTTCTATCACTCTTCTCTAAATTATAAACAGCTCTGAATAGCTTTAACTTTGTTGAGGAAAAGGAAATGGATTTAGGAAGTGTTTGGATGCCATGGCCATTTGTTTAAGTTTCCTGGCATGCATGCTGAGACTCTTGATTCTACCCACTTGGGTGAGATTTTCAGACCTTCCTGCTCTGTGGTAGGACATTTTGTTTGGATTTGTTTGGGGGTGCCATTTGGGAGTCTAAGTCATGGTTGAGCAGAACAAGGGAACCTGTTTTGAATTTGGAGCTCATTTGTATGTTTCCCAGGGAACCTTGGGAATTCATTTGCTTTTGGATTTGGAGATGTTGGTTCTCATTTGAGAGAATTTGGTTCTCATTTGTACAGTTCCCATTTGTTTGGTAGGCCTTGACATTTGAGATTGTTTGGGTTGGGAATTTCCTGTATTGTTTGTGTTTGTTATTTGTGAGTTTTGTACTAACATGGAAGGCTTCACTTCTATTCCCTTTGAAAGTCCCTTGGGAAGAATCTTGGCTGAATGGCCAACTAATAGCACTGTATGTAGGTCTATGTCTAAAAGAGAATGATGTTAGAGTAAAGCCAGTGTATATGCTGGAGTGTGAGGAGAAGGAGCCAGTGAAAGAAACCTTAAATCATTATACTATCTTACCACTGGAACTATTTTTTCAAAGATCAGGTAAATGGGATGAGATCCCATATGTACATTCTTTCATGCAATTGCATAATAAAGAGGCTGAAAGGACAGGACATAGAATTGGGGAGGGATTAACCAGGTTGGATCTCATGAGTCCTTTACCTGCTGCCCTGCCCACCCTGGGGGCTTTGTGATACTTTGTTTAAACAGTCAGATTCCCCTAGTCTGCACCAGTTCTATGTCAGCTGCTAGGCACCAGCCGAGGTGAGGTGCCACATGGAACCATGGCCCAGGGCCTGCCATGTGTGTGTGTGTGAGCCAGTGCTCATGGCCTGCTGCCCAGTGGTGCGTGGCAAGGGGACAGGGAACAGAGGAGGGTGGGGGAATCAACACTTGCCACCCAACCACCCCCAGCATACATGCACGTAGTGCAGGGGTTGGCCATGCTGCCTGCCATAGCTGGGGTGATTCATAGGAAGACACTACAGGCTTGGCCACATTTGAGCTCACGCTGATGAGGTCCCAGCTGGAGGCCTGCAGCCAGCCTGGAAAGTGCCCCCATGTGGAGCCCAGCCCATGGCAACTGCTTTCCACTGCCACCACTGCCATCTCTTCACCATGAGAGGGGCCGGTGAGGGTACAACTGGAACTAATTCTTCAGGCTCAGCCCAGTAGTTTATTACTTGGGAGTGGGAGTGGCCTCTCCTTCTAAGATCCAACAGGGAACTCAATTTAGCCAGAGGGCACCCATAGACACAGCAGCACAATTTCCATTATGGCAATATCAGACCGGGGGCTTGAATACATAAGGACAGTCTTCAGAGACAGTCAAATGGAAAGGGTGAGCAAAAAAGTCACCCCAGGTTGATGTACAATCAGTGTGCTTTTTATAAAAAGGAAGGACATTGGAAAGAACACTGCCAGGGCTCCAAGTAATAAGAAATCCCCAGGAGAGCAAATGGTTTTTCGAAGTCCAGAACTCAGATGATGAAGAGGGGAACTGGGGCCCCCTGCCTCACTAGTGGCTCCAATCGAAATATTCCTCACAGAAGCCCTGGGTGCAATTGACAGTGGGTACTTTATTGATGCCAAGCAGCATGAGCAGAAGAGGTCTGGGCCCTTCACCCCTTGGCCACCTCACAGCCCCTGGCACCAGCCATGTATGGCACTCTGCAAGCCAGGCAGGGAGCAAGGGGAAGCTGGGTAGAAGTGAGGCTGCTATGGGCAAGTGGTGGCTGAGGAACTTGCCACAGCAGGCTCAGGGACTACATGGAGACCATCGGAATGTTCATCTCCTTCCTGAGTAACTTCCTCTACTTGTGTAACCATGTTGCCACCCTGGCTTCTAACTACTGGAAAATGACACCATTGTCAGTAGGACCCAGGAGCACACTACAGTTCATCTGGGCATCTACAGAGCCCTGGAAAATTTGAAAAGTATCACCATGTTAGGTATCACCACCACTCTATGGTGGTGTCCATTAGGGGAAGGGATTTTGCTCCCACCAATTGCACCTTGATCTGATCCACAATGTCCTGAAGTCATCTGTGAGCTTCTTTGTGAAGACTCTCAGTGGGAACTTGGTGAACTCCTTCTATGAGTAGCTGGACATAGTGAATACTATGGTTCCATAGGTCATCAAGATGTTCATGGGGTCTTTTCCTCCACACAGAGTGGTAATGGGCTATCCTTTGTACTGGAGGTAACCCAGCAAGTAAGCAAAGCTCTGCATTTATAATGGAAACTGCATGCATCCTGGAATCAATGCAAGAGACCCATCTAAAGTGGAATAGGGTGCTGGCACTTAACCTCCTCTAGATAGTTCTCTAAAAGCAGGTTTAATTTAAGCCCCTAAGAAATAGTTTATGAGAGACCCTTCCTAGCACCCTGAGGTAAGTATGGTAATATAACAATAAGTGAAGGAAGCAATATATCAGATTCTAACCACTATGCATAAATTTGCATCTTTCGTGTCCCACACCAATTGGAAACAGAAAAGTGGAAGAGACCTTATGAGGTGCCTCTGAAAACACACACCTCAATGAAATTCTCAGGAGTAAACCTTGGGTCCATCATACCAGAGTAAAGAGGTGTCCCATGGAAGAAGAGGACCCAATTCCCCAGTGGATGGGCTAGCCTTTAGGCTATCTAAAGTAACTGTTTAAGAAGGAAAAATGAAAATTTTGATATATTCACTAAGCTTTCTTTGGTTAATTGTTCTGTATATAGATAGGATGGAGAGACATCTCCTTAGTGAGTATTTCCCATGTTATCACCTCTTCTGCTGATCTGTTTCATTGGTGGGTTTACCATCCTAGAACACGTTTGGTGCAAGTATTCCTGTATGTGATTTCTGAATTACAGAAGCCAGTCTCTTGGATCACTGTCAGGGAGCAACTAATAGTCCCATGCTCAGAGGTCTCAGGTTTCTTTTTTGCCAAGACCTCTGTCAGACATTATATAAAAGGTGACAGTAAAGACTCCCAATCCTATCAATGTCTTAGATGCCAAGCCAGGTAAAATCTTTCTTATCAGGTATCCTCCATTTTGTCTTGTCAGTCCTCACAGTTGTAGTTGTTGCCTATGCCTTTTTTCTACCTTGGAATCTGTTATATTCTATTTTTTGCAAATTTACTGCCAAAGCTTTGTGATATCAGAAATATGTATAAACCTTCCATCTAAAACATCACCATAATTCAGCAGGAAACAGATTGATGACTACATCCCAGCCTCCTCCCGTAGACACGGAAGGGGAAAATTGACAGTGCAGAATATGTAACAGAGGGAATGGCCTGAAAAAGGGTAACATGTTTTACATGTTTTCTCTTTAAAACCATCCCCACAATTTTTGGGAATTAAAACCTGCACCCCTGCCTGAGGCCAGTAATTAGAGGGGCAAGAGAGTGTCCTTTGTTCCTTGTACACCAGGAGATGGCTCAATGGAAGTCCCCTGTCTTCATCAGAGGTGGGGTTGATCAGGACCAGCAACCCTAAACTGGAAAGTCCTTTTGAAAGTTCTGTGTTTCTGCTTGTATGGAGGTCTGTGGTACTTTAAGACATGAATCTGGCATCCTCCTCACTTGCCAAAGAAAAATATTCTATGTCCTTCTCCTCAAACCACTTGTCCTTGTTCTTCGGATGTGGCCTTTGGGACAAGTCTTGAACTATTGGGAACAGTTGGCACCCTGTGGCTTCCATACTAACTCTGTTTTTGTCTGTGCTTAAACAATATTATGAATTGGTCCTTTTCTCTCACTTCATCACAGTCACTGAATGACCTTGTCTGATCTTGGTGCTTTGTGAGATTGTTTGTGTCCAACAGGAAACACCACTGTACAGCAGTCAGCACCAGGTCACCTTCTCACAACTCCGAAGCCTGGAAGTGCCAAGGCAGTTCCAAGATGTCAGGACCTGCGTTCCTTTCTCAACTGTTAAGTCATCGCAGAGTGTGTCACTTGATGGAAGAGTATGATGGAATCAAACTGAACATTTGTACCTAGTAAGTGTTGATTAGTGTATTCATGTTAGAGGAATCTCCAGCCTCTAATACTATGCCGAAGACCAGTGTCTTATTTTAAAATATTGGATAAACATATGGAAAGTCCATTTATTAAGAGGAACACAAGGAGGTACTAGGTAAAATTTGAAGTGTCTGTTACTTGGATTGTCTAAATATTGGACAGCTACCCGACTACCCCTAAAAATATACCATTTTTGTGTTGCTAATGATTATTATTTATTTGAAAGAAGAAAAACTGATTAGACATGAGGGATATACAGAAGGCAAGGTAAGTAGTTGGATGTTATCAAACAAGACTATGTTATGGCCTAACCCCATAGGACCAGATGCAGAAGACTCAGGCTGATTCCACCTCACCCATCTAGTCTAGCTGAAAGGCCGTTTTAAACCATGGCAAGAAAGCTGCAAGAGAAAAAAAATATTGTCAGGACATTTCCAAAAAGAATGCAAAATGTGACTTCATTCTTTGGACTCTGAATGGTGAATTCAAATGTCACTGAATTCAGTGGATTCAAAGGGAACATTAAATTTTAAACCTAGAAAAAAAAAACAACACCAATTTCTGTCCTTAAAGAATTTGGATATGTAGCCCAAGATGGAAGTCCAATTAAGTTGGATGATTAGAGAGAAAGGGAAGTCAGCTAATACATATGAGTTTCCCCTATATTAATAATAGAGCACAAAGCAATTCTCTGATAAGGGAGAACTCCTGATGTATCCATAGTACAGATCATTGAGCACAGTGCCAAACATTGGCCCAGACATGAAAATGTATAGAGAAATATTTGAAGAAGACACCTCAGGACTTCAATGATGTGAGTGTTATTCCAATACACTCTCTTACTGCACATATTCTCAAGAGAAAGTTTTTCACTGTAACTTTTCCATTTCCTCCTTATCAATATATTTGTTTCATAAAGTGACTGTGAGATTTAAATGACAACATATACATGAATTTTATAGTGCAGTGCCTGGTGTATGTTCAGATTCAACAAATTTTGTAGTCAATGCTACATGAAAGTTGAAAGGCAGGGAAAAATGAACCTGGAATAGAAAAACTATACCTTGGTCCTCAATGAATTTCCAAATTCCCAGAAATACCCTAAGTAATATTCAAAACAATCTGCATGATGTTTCCACTAAGGAAAAACTGTCCTTAATAAATGCTAACACTTCAAGATCCATGCAGGTAGTATTGGTAACTGAGAAGTAACCACCTTTGGGTGCCTCTGTTATTTATGTGTTGACTTGCTTTAGAAATCCACAATGAATTAGCAAACAATTTGAGAAAAACAGAGCTTTTTCAAAGCTTATCCCTCCTTGACACTAAAAATATAGTCTGTGTGGGAATAGAGAACCCAGGGAATTCAGGAGCCAAATAAGGGAAGAATTTGAACAGAATACTTTTACTCTGTGAAGGGTGGTGAGCAGCATGTGTGGTCCCAGTAGTTGTGGTGGTGGTACTGGTTTCAGCAACAGTGGAAGTTTCTTCAGGGGCAGCTGAAATTAGGAAGAAAAGTTCCAGGTCAGACTTTGATTCTGCTGCAGGGAACACAATTTCTCCCACCAAGGAGTGGGCATACATTTCTTATCCTCAATTCATCTCTGCAACTGTCATCAATTCTGTCATACCTTTAGCCTACCTTCCCACTTTGCTTTTTCCTCATCTTCCCTGCCTGGTCCTTGCTAGGACAGAAAGAATATGGGATTTCCCTCCAAGAGCAATGTCACTGACTGAAGACATGGGCAAGTACTTTCTTCCAGGCGTGAGCACAAAAGACCAAGTCTACATGTGGTGCCATCCACAGGACTACTTCCAGAGCAACAAGGGATTCATCTGGCCTGACATTCTGATGCCGTCCAGGAAGCAGCCTAGGACTGCAGACGTGCCATTGCAGTGTGAATGAGGACAAGCAGAGGGATAATTTCTAGAGGAGAAGAGGAGGAAGATTCAGAAGATGTATCCTATCTTAGAGTCATATTTCCTATCTTAGCTGAAAAATACCTTCTGTCACCTTCGAGCCTGAAAAGGAGTCATATTTATCGCACCCTTTGTGACCACTCAGACTCCATCTATTAGAGGAGTAATTGTGAGAGACACATTGGATATAATGGGACAAATCGGTACACTTCTGGCAATAAGAATGAGCACATGCCCCATGAGTTACTACATGTTCAAAGGAACTGAGTAAGAGTTATGAGAATTATCTTTCCCTTGACCTTACACCAGAGCTACTGACAAAGCCTAGGAGTCCGACTCCGTATTTGTGAGTTAAACCTCCCTCAACAGCTGGATAGCTCCGTCTCCAAACTCATACTTCAGCCATGCTGCATCAGGCCTCTTCAGAGAAAGAACACTGTTAAAACGGGACCCCATGCAGGTGTTCAAATTCTCCTCTAGAATTTATCCCTCTGCTTACCCTCATTCTGGTGACAATGAAACTTATGCAGCCCGAGGTTATTCTGTGAGTTATTCTGTTATTCAGAATGTCAGGTTACCATGAATTCACTTATTGTTTCTGGGCAGTAGTCTTGTGAGTAGCACCACATGTGGACTTGGTCTTCTGTGCTCATGCCTAGGGCAAAGTACTTGCCTATCTCTGCAGTCCTTGTCATTGCCCTTGGGAGGAAAACCCTAATTTACTCTTTCCCCGGAAGGGCAATGAAGGGAAAGATGAAGATAGGGCATGTGGCCCACAGTGTGATGTCTGACTAGAGTCAATGTGCTATGACCAAAGAATGCAAGTCTCCAAGCTTTGGAGGATCAAAAGAGAGATCCTTGTAACTCATTCATGAATATGACACACACAGCATATAACACACAGACCCTTTGGGAGAAACCCCAAAATGACCAGGGGTTTTGATTGACAACCTTGGTTTTCAGGTCAGAGAGAGAAATGAACATCACCCTTGTAATAAGATATTATATACCATTAGAAACAGCAAACTCAGAATCCTTCTTCTACTAGTTCTATGTATTCCACATCTCACACACCACCTGCATTTGCAGTTCAAATACTTCATTTTATATCACTTTCAAAATTACAATCTGTTACTTCAGTCAATAACCAACTGGTCTCTGTTTACACTGCCCATATATTCAGTCCTTCAGCTTATTAAAGACTTTACACGCATCTGCCAGAAATTTTCAGGCCTCAACATCACACCTCATGCACTTGTGCCACTGTCTGAGGAGCAATGAGGAAGTCCAAAATTTACATAAGTCTATGTTCTAGATTTCGTATTCTGTAACAATGTACATGAGATAAATAGGTTAACTTCATTCACAATGCATGTTCGTATCACGAATACAGCCTTCCCAGGCTTCTGTTTAGGATTCCTTACAACTTAGAATATCCACATGCAAGCTGATTATTTGCCATGAGCTGGAAATGGAGAACACTCATTGCAGAAAAGAGATGAAGTTCAAGTCTCACCTGAAGATGCAGTCTCACCAGTAGCAGAGGTGTCATATGGAGCAGCTGTCGTATCCTCTGAAAGAGAAGAAGGAAAAATAGGATGGACGATGATCACCATTGTAGGTTGGAGAGAAGAGAGAATGTGGACAGTATTTCAACTTTCACAATGGAAGAACCTCAGTCCTTGGTGCACAAATTGAGACAGTACACATGCACAGGTAAAGTAAAACACGTGAAATCCCATAGAAAACCTAACATGTGGTCATATTTCCTTTCCTGAAATAAACCTCTGATTACCTTCTTAAACATATTTTATTGACAATAACAATAAAATTGCATTCCATTGTTATTAAGATTTGACTGAATTAGGAAAATCCTATTGGAGGAATCAACTGCACCTTGAACGGCCAAAGTAGTGCTGGAACAAGTTAGGAGAGGGGAGGTCAGGAGGTGCAGCATCTAGCACCAGCAATAAAATCTGCATAGAGTGGCTATTTTTATGGACTATTCCTTCAAACCTCATGTTTAGGTAAGCATCTTTACTTACGGCCAAAGAGCAAGATGGTAGAAACTCCTACCAGTACCAAGACTGCCAAGAACTTCATGGTGGAGAATTGAAGACTCAGGAGTACAAACAAGAATGCTTCAGACCCCGAGGATAGGCAAAATGCTGACTACAGGGTTCCACATCTTGGCAATATATAGGCAGAGGGCACCAATCAGGAGCTGCCAAATCCAAATCCGGGTTAGTAAGGCCAGAAAAGGTTGGGGTATAGAGAAACCACTGGAAAATCAACAGCATAGCCAGAGGCCTTTTGGAAAGGTTGTGACTTCAAATTCTTGATTCAATTCACGACTTGTGCATATTAAATATTTTCCAGGCAGTAACTTGTCTTCCAGGCTTCCTTTTACTTGTGGGGTTGAGTGCCTCCATGAATTCAAGCTCTTCTGTCAAGTTAGAGATGGCCCCATAACCAGCCTTCCTGATACCGGCAGTGCTCCTTTCATATACATTAGGTGGTAGAAGCTTTCAGAGTGCTTAACCTTCTGTCTCCTCAAAAGGGAATAATTAGGGTAGGGCAGACTGGTCCAAAGACCATCCTGTGTACATCAGGCTGTGTATTCTTCAAGCCATGGGCTTCCTCCTATATGTGTTGTTAGAGTCATCTGACAGTGGTACAGAGTGAGTCCGATAATGATCTAAAGAACCAAATTTAAACTCCCTAGTTTAAAGCAATTATTGTGTAAATATTTTAAATAAGAGGTTAAGAAGATAGAAAACTGAACTAACATTTGTAAATCAGTGCATCCAATGAATCAATTCATTCATTCAACAAATATCGATTGAGCATTATTATGTGGCAGGCACAATGCTGGACATTTGAGAAACAACAGAAAGCAAAGCACAAAAAAATTTTGTGACATGTATTATATTGTATAATTCATACACTAAAATCTAAGGAAAGGAAATAGACAATGCCTTATATTTGAGGTGATAAAGTCTAATAAAAAATAAGAAAGAAGAAAGAAGAGTAACATTGGAGATGGAAAGTAGGGTGTAATTTTCTATAAGGTAACCAAAGAGGACATTAGTAGAAGCAGTGACATTTGCAGAGATTTAAGGATCTGAGAAATCAACCATGTAGTATGTTTAGATAGTGCATTGGGAGGGAAGAAAATGTGAGTGCACGTGCTTTATCGTCTTCCAGGTTTCTCCTGCTGTTGAGTAGGGCCAGCACTGCTCCAAGGCATGTCCAACTACTCGTCCTTTGTTGTAATGGACCCAAGCTGCTAAGTAAACACAAGAAGGGAGGTAAATCCTCACTTTTACAGCATAAGCAATGCTGTACCCAATCAAGTCTCCTGAGTGGTGTTGAACGTCTGGAATACCCAGAATGGTGAGGAATTCACTGCATATTAAAGACTTCCCTGTGTTTTAATGTCTCTCATTGCCTTAAAGTTCTTCTTGTTCATACAGAGTATATCTTTTTGTTGGATCTCTGTTATCTGGGATAGCACTAAACATGTATCTATTTTCTCTGTTTATTGGATCAACTACCTGGCAATAACAGCCAATTCACTTGCCACAACATGCTATAGGGTCACTATCAGTTGAATGAAGAAAGACACACAAAATGAGAGAGTGGTCTTGAACCTCTGAAAGGCAAGTAGGTGTCCTTGTAGGTAATTTCACATCTGCCATGAGGCATAGAGTTGTCATAACATGATGAGGAGTTAGCATGAAACAATATTGAAAAATAAAAATAAAAGCATACTCTGAAGGGAAAGAGAAAGGGAGAAATATTGAAAGGAGATAAACATGAGGAAGGCAGACTTACATGACAGATACTATCTGATTATACCCAAGAAGAAATAAATCCTGTAGCTAGCCACACAAAGCTTCCAAAATAAATAAATACACAAATTGGACTGTCTTCTAGAAGATGGTTCCTTACTGGGAACTCACTGTGTGTCTTCCACAGAGGAGAGAGCCGGCAGACAGACTTACAGCAATGATTGGCTTGTTGAGTATGGAAGATTAAGCATGTATATCTGTTAGGGTACACTTAGGAGACAGAAACCCCACAGTTCATTGCACAGGTGAAGTTTGATATAAAGAGGTACTAAAGTCTAATAAAAGAGTAAATATGAAGGAACTACTTGAAACCCCAGGGCTAAGGGAGAATGTCCAAGAAAGGACAACCATGGACAGGGGCCTCCTCCCTAAGGCAGGTGCTCAGAACTCACTGGAGAAGCAGCCTTCCGCATAGCAGAGAAGTTTGCTGGTTTGCCCAGGCTGAAGCTGGTCTGCAACTTCTGGGCAAGCAGAGATCCGCCACCCAGAGAGTACACGTGGGAACAGACAATCAGCTAGTTGGGGCCTGAGTGTGCAGAGGGGGTGTGGGCTCAGAGTGTAGCTGGGCCTCCTGGGCCTGCAACAGTCCTGAGATTTTATTTGGTTGAAGTTATTAGATCTGGATAATATAATGCTCAAATTGTATGTTTTTAGCATTATTACTTTCTGTGGAATCTAATATTTAATCATTATGTATTTTGTCCATATATAATGGACAAAAATAATATAGTCAAAAGTAATATCTTTTCTTATTAAGATACACATGATTATATATATATTGGGTATGTTGTATGAAAATTAGGCTGAGATCTTTGGAACATCTATAAGTTACTCCATTTTTATGGCATCTGTTACATATTATGTTATGTTTTTATATAAAACCATATATTTTAGGTATAACCAAATGTTATATCTGCCTCTGTATACATGTATATATATATATGTACATACTACATACTAGTATGTATGTAATTAAAAATTCCAATTAAATACATTATGCATCTCCAAAATTTTTTACTATGTTCCATCCAAAACTAGATTACTTTTTCATTTTCTTTATAAAAATTAAAATAGAAGTATAAGTATCAAAATAAAGTCTCCAGACATACCAAAATAAGAGATAACTACCATCATTACCTGGTAAGTATATATTCCTAAAACATATTATGCATGTATGAACACACATATACTTATTTATCCATGCTCCTCCATGCCTAATTCCATACTGTTACTGTCATCACGACCAGAAAGCAAATGTTAAATAAACTTCTCCATGTTTCTGTTATCACAGACAAGTATATGTAGATGCAAGTGACCATATATTCCTGTCTGTGGCTTTAAAAATACTGTTAAAAAATATCATTATGTTATGGACCCTTTTTTCTTGTTTGTACACTCACCACTGCTACTTAGAATTCTAAGTCATCCCTGTATGTCTGTATTATTCTTTTCAGTGGCTTTCATAATTTACTCTAGTATTACCTGTTTATAGGAATTCACATCATTTCAATCCTTTTGCCTTTATCAAATCATGAAACCATTGATATGTTTTTTGATGGACTCTTATGTACGAAGGTTCTATATCCTTGTGATAAATCTCCAGAGGTTTTTGAGTTATATTATATATATGTATTTAATTTGATAGATGTTTCTTTTCCCAAAGGGGTCTAAAATTAAAATAATAGAAACAAATGATCAGGGCATACATTTATGGCCATTTCTCTGATAGCAGTAAATGTCATCTTAATTTAATTATTCCAATCTGTTAGGTTAGAAGCAATTTTGTTATGTTACTTGCATTTACCTGATTGTTTGAACGTATTTGAACATATTGTTTGAACATTTTTGAACATATTGTTCATGTTTGAACAATAAGTTTGAACATATTGCATACATTTATTGACAACTTGAATTTCCTCCTCCATGATGTGCATATTATAATCTTTTTATCTATTGTGTTTCCTGTTATATCCTTTTAAAGACCCTGAGCATATAAGAAATATTAACATATTATCTTGTCTAAAAATCACAGTTTCCAATCTAAAATATATTTTTTAATTTTCTCATAATATGTTATTAAATCTTTGAAATTCAAATGGAGCTATCATTTTTATTATAATTTCTATAGTGAAACATGTGTAAGACATGCAACTGAGTCATCTTATACTGGTGACAACTTAACATTCCTCCACGCAAAGATCATATCTACTGTTAATCCCCAGATTTACCCAATGATCACAAACCTGTCTCTAGTCATCACTACACACGTCAGCTGGGAGCATATTAAAAGGGCAGGCGGGCCCTGAGAGGAAAGCAGCAAAGAAGCCCCGCCCTGAAGAGAGGTCTTAGCATCAGAGACTCAGTCCATCCAGACCCCTCACTGGTAGGCACGCGCCACACAGAGGTGGGAGCACCTGCCGCAGTCCTGGACTGGGATGGGCAAGGACACATGGGTTTCAACAAAACAAGGTTTAATGAACACAGACCAGCAATGGTTTTATTTTATTTATTTATTTTTTTTGAGGCAGAGTCTCGCTTTGTTGCCCAGGCTAAAGTGAGCACCGTGGCGTCAGCCTAGCTCACAGCAACCTCAAACTCCTGGGCTCAAGCGATCCTACTGCCTCAGCTTCCCGAGTAGCTGGGACTACAGGCATGCGCCACCATGCCTGGCTATTTTTTTCTATATATATTAGTTGGCCAATTAATTTCTTTCTATTTA